GTGTTGACGGTGTCGCACGTTGGCGATGTTGCAAGCGTTGAAACTGTTGAGAGTGTTTCTCGTTCTTCCTCAAATGACCTTACTCACCAGCTGATGAGAGCTGTCGAACAAAAAATGAACACTTTCACAATCAACACCGTCAACAATTGCTACACCGTCAACACTTACAACACCGTCAACACCGGCAAACTCTGATCGATCCCTTACCGAGTAGTTTCGATGTATAGCTGCTGATTACCCTATGTTATAAAAATTAGTATTATGGTTTCAATTTGATTAGTACCACCCTTATTTCTGTGTACAAGAAAATATCACGTACGTAAATTTTCAGATTGGAATGATTGTAGCGGGAGTTGTGTGGATGCTGGTGTTATTTGCTATAATGTCCACCACTGCCGACGATTTCTTTTCGCCAAATATAGTAGCGATTGTTGCTAATTTGAAAATCAGTGAAAGCATAGCTGTAAGTGGTGAGCATGAATGTATCTTTGCTAAAAATCTTCTCATGAAGGGTGTGACGTTTATGGCATTTGGCAATGGGGCTCCCGACATATTCAATTCCATTGCTTCTGTTCTCAACAGTCCAAAGCCCAAAGCGGGAATTGCTTTGGGTGGACTTCTCGGTGAGTACTAGCTGAGCAGTGCATGACCAAGTAATGATTGTCACCTATGACACGCTTTGGTAAATGGGAAAATGATGTGTAGTCTTGCATTATCAATAACACTTGCTTTAAGAAGTGAACCTGTGGTGCAAGTATTTTAGCAGTCAGGTTATGCCGAGAAGGAGATTATAATCATGTGTGATAGTCAAGACATATTTAATTTGTAGGTTACTTTGAGCACTTTGTGAACTTATGACTTGGAAGTATGATCGACACCTACACTTGAGGCACAAATTACGATAATACAAGGAAGTTCTTTAATTTCGTGGAATTCAGTTATTCGATAAATCGCAAGGAAAGACTTGAAAATTTTTTGTAGAACTGCTCTAAATAAATTTTTACGGAAAACAGAAACAAGCTGAAATATCAACTTATGTAAGAAACCCCTCAAAATCACCGAACCTCTGCAGCAGAAGCAACGATGTCGCTGAAATTTGACCAAATTATGGCGATTACTACTGGAGAACTATGCTTCAGCAAAAAACAGTCCGCGATCCGTCGCGCCGAATGGCTACTACAGCCACCATTGTAGGGACGTAGGTATGCAATGAATGTGTGAAGTTTTCGTTTTGAGCAAAACTCGAAGCGATGGGATTGCGAGTCTATGCCCTTTGCTTTGGGCAACTTGGTTCACCACGTCATCAGTGGCTTGTGCAAGAAATGGGCATCGAGTTTATTGAGATACTGTCTTGGTTTCTCAATGGGAAAGTTTGATTTGAAACCTGATGTTGCGTGTTGTCCTACATTGCGAGGAAATTGAAGAGCAGTGAACCACTCACTCGAGTCTAATGCGCAAAGTGGATATTTTTGGTGAACGCAGAACGCGGTCCACATTCACAACTGCGAGTGCAGCTAGAATCACATGTAGCGTAGTTTATGAAGTAACTCGTATGTGAGCGACTGAACTCTTACAAACCACAAACGTAGTTTTCACTTTTTGAAGCTGCACAGTATAACAATGCAGCGTTTATTTATTGAGATGCCTTTCAGTAGAGTATAACTTGTTGAGCTAATTTACAAAAGTTGAACTTTTTTTGTAACGTACGAATTTAGGAGCCGGTATATTTGTCACATCTGTAGTCACCGCCACTATCATACTTGTCAAACCGTTTAAAATTGATGTATGCTCGACCATTCGTGACCTCATATTTTATCTTATTGCACTGGCTTGCATAACGCTTGCATTTCTTTGCAGCACAAATGTGTACGTCTGGGAGCCAGCAGGTACTTTTTCGAAGGGATTCCTAGAGCGTCATTCTTTGTTCAAGGTTTTCTGGCACTTTACGCTGTATATATTCTCACCGTGATACTTGTGCACCATTTACATAAGCGCAGAAGGGTAAGTTGCTTTATTTCATTAGGAGTCAAGTTTCGCTCAAGTCCGATGTTTTAGAAGAAGTTAGCAATAAATGTTATTCAAACCAAGCAAAGCATCGCTTCCTATGGAAGTAAGCCGACTTTTATGTGTATCAGTGGCATGAAATTTTGGTAAAGTAGAGGTTCATCGCGTGGTCAAATTAGTCGGTCTTTGTGAGACTCCGAGTTGCTTACGTCATATCGTCCCAAAGTCTACCTGCGGGCAGCAATTAATGAATTAAAGAAGTTGGGAGCGCAATTGTTCTAACTCCTACTGCAGCTTCTCAGGCCCGTATGCACGTAATCCCTGTTGGAGAGGGGAGGGAATCCCAGGAGACCACCTCTCATTTTCAAAGTCATTTATCTTTATGAAAAGTCAATGAAAACGCTATGAAATTGTATTGGGTTGTTTCAAAAGTTCTGCCCGTTTTCTGTCCCT